AGGCTGAGATGAAATACAGGTGATTCAATCACACTCACCTAACCTGAAATGTAGGAAATAATCAGTCGATTATTGTGAAATGCTTTTTATTCAACCATGCTAGACTGCAAACATACTTTAAGAACACAATAAAAGTGATGGGATTATGGGTACCTTGAGGAGTCATATTTTTCCAAACCAAAAGTTAAGGTGTATATAATCTGACAAGTACTATGGAGAATAGTGGAAATGAATTACTTGAAATGTAACCACCCCACGAAAAACCAATACATGACGTCAATACGTGTATTTTTTAGAATCGGTCAGCCAAGACCATTACTGTACAAACATCTGAAAATTAAGACCACTAAGAAATTACTCAGTCCTCTCGTCTATTAACTAATCCCTACAGTAACCCAAAAAAAGTTACTATTTACGTGAGATTAATATTCTTCACAACTTCCATACTCAGGGATACACGCCGAACATATAAAACTGTCAATTAGTACGAAAAAGCTTAGTTTTTCAGAAGAGAAGACATTTGACAGCTCCTTTCCCCCAAAAGCCATGTAATCTGCTTTATAACCATTACTGCCCAAGTACACCGGAGCGAGCGGGTCCAGGGCTCGCCTCCCCGAGACCTCACAGGGAAGCGTAACCAACCTGACTCTCCCAGGCAATCAGGAAGATCGGGAGAGTCAGTAGAAACTGACGTCCGCAGGACGAGGAGTTTGAGAGAAGGGTGAACAGCGTAGTCGCAGGGGAGTTGAGGTTTTTTTGTTTTGTTTTGTTTTTTGTCTTAAGGCGGTAAACTGGGGAAGAAGTTAGTGGAAAGGATAGAGGGAGGCGAAGCCGAGGTCCGGCTCCGAGAGGACGGCGTAACACCGACAGACCGCGATTAACTCAGCATGTGGCAATGCCGAGAGTTCCGAGACCTGACCTGAGCACCAGCTACAAGAACGCKGATACGTGGCTGCGAGAGGACACGCGGGGGTGGGGCCCGCCCGCCCCGCTAATTCCTGGGCTCCCTGAATAAGCTTTCAGAGGAGGACCGCAGCCTGAGAAAGTCAATGAGTTCAAGGAGGCCTGCCCTGGCCCGGCAACGCCACAGCAAGGAACGCTGCTGCGCGCGGAACCTCCGGGTCTGAGGCCTCGGGGTCGGCCCTGAGGAAGTCGGAGCAACCCCTGGAGCTCCCGGCCCCTCCTGGCCCAACCTCTGTCCTCTCTTCTCACCCCCCACAGGCTGGGACCGGACCCCTGGGACTGACAGGAAGCTTCCGGCCATACGCCCGCGGCAGCGGCAGGGCAAAAGAAACAATACGCTCTTAGCGCCGCGAGTGACACTCACCGGCCCGAAACCTCGAATGAAACCAGCAGCTTCGGGGGCGGCGGCAGCAGTGGCAGCAGGAACCGAACATCCAAAATGGCGGCTCCCTCGGCCTCACCACCGCTACTGCAGGCGGAGGGATTCTTAGGAGGAAGGGGCTTTTTAACTAACTTCCCACACTACCTCAATAACTTCGGTCCCTATCTCTCTCTCCTTGTCAATCCTGCGCCCTCTGACTGCAACTCCTCGGGCCTCCCCCCTCGGATTACCCAAGAACTCGGACCCCGCCGAGGACTATTTGCCAACGAGGAGGCGACTGCTCCTGGCAGAGCGACGCAAAGCGTAGCAAGGGTCGGGGCTGTCACTGATGACGCTAGACGCGGCTGCCGAGTCACCGCTGAGATGAGTCTGAGCAAGAAAAATCCGGACTACCCCGGAGACGACGCACTTTGGTTCCGCTTGGAGCGGGAGGGCGGGCGGACTGACGAGCGGGCTAACCAGGAAGTGGTGTGCCACCTGAAAGAGGCGGAGCTAGGCAGAGAAGCTGAGGTTGTGGGAGGGAAGCAGGTGGGGACCAAACGCTTAGCCAGGCTGAGCAAGAGAATCCCAAAGTCGTTCCTGTCACCTTTAAGACCTCAGCTTTCTCTTTAACTTCAAAAACATGCTTCAAAGTCCTCTTGGATTCTATGGTTTTATGGTATCTTTGCAATGAACTTTATGAAAAAAAAAAAATTAGATGACAAAGCAGGAGAATAGAGTCCAAGCCTAGTCCTGCCCCTCTTGCTTTGGACAAATCACTTAAACTCTCCAAGCCCTGAATTTTCTAGTATGTAAAAAGATTTGGACTAATAATAGCTAAAAACTCTTTCAGAATGGGCCTTCTATGACTCCATGAATTAATGACCTTGGCCAAAGAAAATTTGACTAGACAGTTCTGGCTTCAAAAATAATTACTAACATGTGACAGAGTCTTTTTCATGTGAATGTAAAGAGGTCCTTGAGATCTTGGTACATTTAAAGGTGACCGATCTAGACTAAAATCCTTTAGATTGCCAACGAAGTACTCCCAAAAGTAAATGAAACAAAGCACCAGACTGGATACCAAAAAGAACCATATTAACTGCAAATCCCAAATTTAAGACCTGAGTGTCATATACAGGAAGTTGCACCTTCTTCCTTAGGCAATTGCAGGGATTTCAAAACACTACAAAAATTGAACTGGGTGTGCTCAGCTGTATAGTTTTGTCCTTGAACTTCCACGGCATGCCAAAAGACTGGAAAGAAAGGAAGCCAAGGGTATAAAAGGATTTATCAATTTTTATTATTAAATGTTGATAACACATTGTTCATAAAGCACCTTCATACGTATAATCTAATTTGACCCTCTGGACAACCTCCTGAGACTGTAAATAATTCAGTGTTTTTAAAAATATTTTTTTAGATGTACTTTTATTTTGTTCATTTATTTATGTGCCGTGCTGGGAATCAAACCCAGTGCCGTGCCTCACACATGCTAGGCAAGTGCTCTACCACTGAGCCATAATCCTGGCCCAATAATTCAGTTTTATTTATTTTTTAAATATCTTTTTTAATTGTAGATGGATACAATACCTTTTATTTATTTTTATGTGGTGCTGTGAATTGAACTCAGTGCCTCACACTTGCTAGGCAAGCACTCTACCACTGAGTTACAGCCTCAGCACATAATTTAGTTTTATAAATAAGGAGATAGAGATTCAGAGAAACTGTGACTTGCTGAAAGTTTCCTTCCCCCACTAGATTTCTGCTATATATCGCCATCTTACATTTTAGAAAATTGTACCCACCAAAACGACAAACACAAACACAAGGGTGAAATCAACCTAGGGCAAATGGATTGAAAAGAATAATACTTATAGATTCAGACCCTCCTATCCCTCTGCTACACATCAGTACAGTGTAGCTCTAGATCACATGGTTAGTAAATAGAATAACACTAAAATATCATAAGGATGACAAAATGTGGGTTCCCTTGAGCTGTAGCTATGCATGGAACACATGCCAAATTCAGTTTGAGATTTCCATAAAAGAATAGAGGTTGCAAAGCAGAGTTAGTAAGTATTCCATTTGGAATACCACAAAAATTGTTTAGAGGCCAAAATAAAGTGTTTACCATTAAAAACCAAAAGAAAAGAAAACCTGTCTTCTTAAGAAGAGCTTTGCTAGGCTCAGTAGTGCACACCTGTAAGCCCAGCCACTCAGGAAGCTGAAGTAGGAGGATTGCAAATTCAAAGTCAGCCTCAGCCATTTAGTAAGGCTCTAAGCAGACCCTGTTTCAAAATGAAAATAAAATGCACTGGGCAAATGGAATATTATTCACTTTTAAAGAACAGTGAAATTATGGCATTTGCCAGTAAATGGATGGAGTTGGAGAATATCATGCTAAATGAAATAAGCCAATGCCCCCCAAAAAACAAAGGCTAAATATTTTCTTTAATAAGTGGATGCTAATTCACAACAATTCGGGGTACACTAGAGAAGAATAGCGCTACCTTAGATTAGGTAGAGAGAAGTGAAGGGAGGCGAGGGGAGTGGATATGGGGATAGGAGTGATAGTAGAATAAAACAGACAAAAAATTATTACTTTATGTATATATGTGACTGCATGACCAATGTGATTCTGCAACATGTACACTCAGGAAAATGAGAAATTATATCCCATCTATGTATGATATATCAAAGTGTATAAATGCATTCTACTGTCATGTATAACTAATTAAAACAAATTTTAAAATTAATTTTAAAAAAGGGCTGGGGATGTGGCTCAGTGGGTAAGCTCCCGTAGGTTTAATACTCAATACCCACCCCCCACACCATACCAAATGTACCATACCAAATGGCAGATAATCAAAGAGAAATTCGCAACATAAACCTCCTCCCTGTATTTTTTTATATTTTCTTTTTAATTACCAAATCCCTCACCCATGCAACCCAAAATTAAAAAGAATTGCCCCAATTTATACCATAATTATCATTAACTTGGAATCTTTGGTTTCTGTGGCTTGTGCTTAAAATTTAGAAAGGCTTACTCCCCAACTTCTAAGACATAATCTCAAATTTAGATAAGTTACACACATTCATAATGGGGACCATTAGGCTACCAATAAAAATAAAATTATAACTCTAACTTTATAATCATGGTATAGCAGACTTTTCTAAACAATGTAACTAAAATAAGCTTGTAAAAATTGTGTATACATACAGAAAAATTTGAAAAACAAAATCAAAATATAAAAATGGTTATATTTGGATGATGGGACTATAGAGGATTTTAATTTTGTTTTATTTTTGCAACCAAAAAGAAAAGTTAAGTTGGACTTGTTTTCTCAGATTCTTCTTTATCTAGTCTCATAAAATCACCAAGATTTAGTCTATTAGACCACAACAAATAATAGAAACTGGAAAGGAACCTAAAATTTATTGATCACCTACTAAGACTTTTATATGCACTATTTCTTTAATCCTTATTATTGTCCCCATTTTACAGATGAGAAAAAGAAGCAGCTAGTAAGTGGCAGAGTCTACATTTGAGTCCAGACATACAGGATTCCACTGATTTTCTGGAAACACTTATTTTATTATATATGTACATTCATTCTTCCAAATACTTATTTGTTTTGTTGACTCTTTGGATTTGTTCAGGGTTTGGGTTTTTTTTGTTTGTTTGTTTGTTTGTTTTTGCAGTACTGGGATCAAATCCAGATCCTCACGCATGATAAGCAAACACTCTACCACTTAGCTATCTTCCCAGCCCCGCAAAACTCATTTATTAAAAGATCTTTTCCTCTAGTTTTTGAATTCTTTCATACACATTTGACAGGAGGCACCATTTGCTAAAAGTCATATAGGTAGTATGCGATGGGATTTAAAATTCACACCATTCTGCCTACCTGAAAAAAAAAAAGAGATAATTATGGGATAATTAAAGATCCAGAGGAAAATTTATTGACCTCAATTAATAATATTCTGTAGGTCCAGAATTTTCATCTAAGTATTTCAAATTTGAGGGGACAGAAATAATTACATGTGTGTACACAGACACACATTTACACATTATTACAGTAGGCAGAGATATATAGAATTTAAGAAATGGAAGGAATTGTGAACGAGAAAGCTTCAGACCCACACAGAGATGGCTATGCTAAAATTCATACCCAGTCCTGATTCCCAGGCAAATGCTCAATTCAAGGACCAAGAAATTAATTCATTTTCTTCAGCATTTCAAGTCTCAGGTTAAGGTCTTCCAAGTCAACCTCTTCGGAATCATAAGGGTCGATGGACGGGCTTGCTTGAGGTTTTACATCAGGCAAATTAGACAGCATGAAGTTATGGAAACCAATCTTGGTTCTTGATTCTGGTTTTGAAGAAGTTTGGGGGCTGAGTCCTGGACCTATGTATTTCAATATATGTAAAAAAAAGTCATAACAAGGCAGTCCTCCAAAAAAAATCCCAGCCTCAAAGAAAGAGGCTACTATTGCATTGTGAAGAAATTAAGAATATACTCTTTCAAAATATGCTGAATTGGTCTATTGATTATTTCAAGTTGAAATCACATGTAGCTTCAAAGAGGACTATTTGGCCCATCTTTTCCTACACACAGCAAGTCATAAAGATTTTCTTGGATGTCCTTCCCAGTCCAAGCCACTAGACTCTGGTAACTGGGGCTTAGTGAACCTCAATAAATGCCTCTAAGTAACCCTTCCTTACCTTCCACTAGCTTTTATTTCCCACCCCATATACCTCTTAGTAATATCCCTAGAATTTACTACTCTCATCCAAAGATCCATTTGTCCTGTCATTCCTGCAAATTTATTTTCTTTGTCTAAAAAAGTATATAAGCATTATGCCTTGGCATAATTGAACTTTACTCTCTAATGTGCAAAAGTAATAAATCTTGGGGCTGAAGTTGTAGCTCAGTGGAAGAGCTCTTGCCTAGCATGCGTGAGGCACTGGGTTTGATCCTCAGCACCACTTAAAAATAAATAAAGGCTTTGTGTCAATATACAATTAAAAATTATAAACAAATAATTCATGTTGCTTTTATCTTATTAATCAGATCTTATGCTAATTCAGTTTCTAGACCCAGCCCAAAAACCCATCTAAGAACCTAGGGTTGGGAGAGGGGATCACTCCCTCCCCTACAATGGCTTTTAAGAATGCAGCATATGCTATGACTGGAAAACTTAACAATTCTCCCTTCATGCAACAGGTGGTATTGTTTATCATTTGCTGGCAATCTTCTTTAAGGTTCACTGGAGCTTTTAACGAAGGCACAATTTTCAAAATATGTGACAGGACGATCTCTTATAATATTGGTTCTTTGTGTTAAAGACTCCCGAAATCTGATGAAAGCAATGAATTCTTTCCCTTACATATCCAAAATTGTGCCTCTCACTTAGTGGACTCTATGCCAAGAATCCCTGGTCTAATGCAAACAAAGTTATTCACATTAGAGGCCTTGCCACAGGAACTCTGTATACTTGCATTAGACCAAGTTCCCAGAAGTGAGGCCTCTAATGGGAGTAGTTTTATTTTCCTATTAACTTTTAGCTGCTAATTTTTTTGGGGGGTGGGCACCAGGAATTGAACCCAGGGTCACTTGATCACTGAGCCACATTTCCAGTCCCATTTTGTATTTTATTTAGAGAAAGGGTCTCACTGAGTTGCTTATTGCCTCATTGTTATTAAAGCTGGCTTTGAACACACAGTCTTCCTGTCTCAGCCTCCCAAGCTGCTGGGATTATAGGCATGCAGCAACATGCCTGGTTTAGTTACTAATTTTTAAGTCTGAACATTGGAAGGTCTATACCTCCTGAATTGTATCATGGATTTCAAAACACTATCCACATCCATGATGAAAACTGTTAGCTACTATAAAGGAACAACTGTACCCCTGGTAAATCACTAATATACTTCTCTCACCAGTGTAGACATAGTCTTTTTTAAAAAAATATTTATTTTTTTAAGCTTTTTAGGTGGACACAATATCTTTATTTTGTTTTTATGTGGTGCTGAGAATCGAACCCAGTGCCTCACGCATGCTAGGCGAACGAGCTACCACTGAGCCACATCCCCAGCCCCCATAGTCTTATAATAATTGAAATAGGGGCTGGGGTGTGGCTCTGTGGAAGAGCACTTGCCTAGCATGTGTGAGGCACTGGGTTCAATTCTCAGCACCACATATAAATAAATAAATAAATAAATAAATAAATAAATGTCCATTGAAGACTAAAAAGTTATTTAAAAAATAATTTTTCAAATATCTTCAGTGAATAGCAAGCAACTCCAACTTCCGACAGCATTTTCTATACTTACTAGGAACTAGTGAGGGAAGCAAATCATTCTTCTTATAGTCATCATTCTGAAAGAAAAAAAATCACTAGGAAGTGAATAGTTTGAGTTACAAATGCATATATTTTTCACACAGCAAGTCTTCAATAAGTATTTCTTAAAATTAACTTGAAATTAACTAGTACAATCAAGCTTCCTTCTTGTTTAGGGTAAAAATTTTTTTCTCTTAATTAAAAAAAATAATTTATTGTCAACAAAGGTGATATATACAACAGGAAAAGAGGTGAAAGAGAGAGTGGGGGTGAATGGAGCCCCTCTGCAGGGATGGAGTGGGAAGAGGTAATGGAGGCCTCCTAGTGTAGAATCCTAAACAAGTGGGGGAGGAGAGGTATCCCCCGAGGTAGTGGGACTCAGTTCAAACCCCCTGATGACCACCTCTGTGTAAGGCACTGTGCCAGGGGAGAATGGTGGGGAGCCAAGAGAGCGCTGGAGGAGGTGCAGGGGACAGAGGTGTGGGTCAGTAAAGGACTAGGGTAAGTGTTCTCCACTGGCCCAATGTCCTACCACATGACAGCCTCGGCCACCCGCTACCTGGGATCCGGCCTCAGACCCAGCCAGGGGCAGGCATCCTCCAGTGCTCTGAAGCAAGAGTGGATAGGCACTGCCCTACCCCTCCCTCCTGCCCTGGCACCTGGTTTTAAAACTCTGGGTGGCTGAGCTAGGGTAAAATTTTTTTTAAATATATTGTTTAATTGTCAGTGGATCTTTATTTTATTTATTTATATGTGGTGCTGAGAATCGAACCCAGTGCCTCACGCATGCTAGGCAAGCGCTCTACCACTGAGCCACAATCCCAGCCCTAGGGTAAAATTTTTTAATACCTATGGGAAGAAAGTCTTACGAATGACTAGGGGGTTTGCTTCTTCTGTCACCTGTGACCTTTTATAAGAACCAAGAAAATCTTTTATCTCTGGGCCTGAACATGCTATTTGTAAAAATTATTTAGTTTAATAAAATCAGAGAACTCTTCTTCCAAAAATAAATGGTGAGATAAAAAAAAGGAAGAATAGGAAGAAGGGTTATAGATTAAAGATTTAAAATATATATCAACCAAATACAATGTGTAGATCTTTTTGGATCTTAATTTGAATAAAATAACTGCACAAATTGTACTTGTGAGGGAGACTTAATATAGATATTAATATGATATTAAGGAGTTATTTTCATTATACTGAACATAATGACACTGTTGTTTTTTTTTTTTTTTGAGAGAGAGAGAGAGAGAGTGAGAGTTTTTTTAATATTTATTTTTTAGCTTTCGGCGGACACAACATCTTTGTTGGTATGTGGTGCTGAGGATTGAACCCGGGCTGCATGCATGCCAGGCGAGCACGCTACCGCTTGAGCCACATCCCCAGCCCAATGACACTGTTTTATATTATAAAAACAAAGTATATGTGTTAGAGCTACATATAGTCATGTTCACATGACAATGCTTCAGTCAAGAACTGACCACAACATTGTAGTACAAGGCATTACTCACATGTATGCGGTATAAACAAATCTCCTGCACTGACAGTTATATAAAAGTACAGCATATACAATATGTACAGCACATAATACTTGATAATGAGTATAAATGACTATGTTTTTAATTTACATATTTACTATACTGTATTTTTGTTATTTAAGTTCAGTATAAAACAATATTCTAAGCTATGCTGGCAGCAGCCTCATATATCTTGAGTTTATTTATTTATTCTAATTTATTATACATGACAACAGAATGCATTTCAATTCATAGTACACAGAGCACATTTTCATGTCTCTGGTTGTACACAAAGTAGAATCACACCATTTGTGTCTTCATACATGTACTTGGGGCAATGATGTCCATCTTATTTCACCTTCTTTCCTACCCCCCTGCTTCCTCTCTTCCTCTCCCTCCCTTTTGTCCTATCTAAAGTTCCTCCATTCCTCTCATGCTCTACCCATCCCCATTATGGATCAGCATCCTCATATCAGAGAAAACATTCAGCATTTGGTTTTTTGGGATTGGCTTACTTCACTTAGCATAATATTCTCCAACTCCATCAATTTACCTGCAAATGCCATGATTTTATTCTCTTTTAATGCTGAGTAATATTTCATTGTGTATATATAGCTCAGTTTCTTTATCCATTCATCTACTAAGGGCATCTAGGTTGGTTCCACAATTTAGCTATTATGAATTGTGCTGCTATAAACATTAATGTGACATCRTTACTATAGTATGCTGTTTTTAAGTCCTTTGGGTATAAACTAAGGAGTGGGATAACTGGGTCAAATCTTGGTTTCATTCCAAGTTTTCCAAGGAATCTACTGAATCAAGAGGTCATGTCAAGGGCTGTGATTGTAGCTTACTGGTACAGCGCTTGCCTCGCACGTGTGAGGCACTGAGTTGGATCCTGAGTACCACATAAAGATAAATAAATAAAGGTATTGTGTCTATCTACAACTAAAAAATTATTTTAAAAAAAGAAGGCCATGTCAAAAAGAAGGGAATGATATTGGTCAAATTACATTGCTATATTGTATGTACATATGTAATATGTAACAACAAATCCCATCATATGTACAACTATAATGCACCAATAAAAATGTGGAAAAACATTTTTTAAATTAAAAAAAGAGGCCATGTTAAGTTATTGGCCTAAACCACCTAGGTTTCTGTAGCTACACTCCATGATGTTTGCACAACAATGAAATTGCCTAATGACATTTTTCAGAATGCATCCTGTCATTAAGCAACACATGACTATACCAAAATAACTACAGTTGAAATTTTATAATGTCTGAGATTTATAATGTCTGTCTCTTCTCCCATCCTTCTCTAAACAATGTTAGAAAAAGACAAAGGGACAAAATAAGACAAACAGAATGTCAAGAATGGTTGAAAATTAATGATGGTTACATGGCAATTGACTATATTATTCAAATTTTATATATACTTAAAATTGTCCATAATAAAGTTTGTTTATTTTTAAATCAGAGGACATATATTCCAATAATAGAAGATAAAAAATACACAAGGTGTAGTTTAGACAAATACTTTTAACAAGCAAAATCAGAGTTAGTTTATGTCTAAAATATAAAATCTTAGAGAAAAGAACTTTGGAGTAAAAAATGCCTATAAGCGCCAGCGCTGAGGTGCATGCTCGGGAGGCTGAAACAGGAGGATGGTGAGTTCAAAGCCAGCCTCAGCAATGGTGAGGTGCTAAGCAACTCAATGAGACCCTGTCTCTAAATAAAATACAAAATAGGGCTGGGTATATGGCTCCACTGAGCGTCCCTGAGTTCAATCCCCGGTATTCAAAAAAAAAAAAAGACTACAAGGTGAAAAAGAATAAAAGCATTTTTCTTTACATAGCTGAATGAATAAAGAATAAAGAAAAGTAATGTCTATGGTTCTTTCATTTTTACCTATTTGACCTCTCCAGATTTACGTATGCAAARTTGTTGTTTAAGTTCACTATAAAACAATATTCTATGTTATGCTGGCAACAGTCTCATATATCTTGAGTTTATTGCATCTCTTTTTAAAATTTATTTATTTATACATGACAACAGAATGCATTTCAATTCATAGTACACATATAGAACACTTTTTAAAATTATTTTCAACATGAAAGTAAATTGGTTTCACTATATATGAATTGAATATATCTAATCTGACCTGAGTTTAAATCACTGTACATGAAGGATTTTCAAATGTGTTCAGCTTGTAAGAATGTTCTTTTCAGGGTAGCTGGGGCTGTAGCTCAGTGGTAGAGCACTTGCCTAGCATGTGTGAGACACTGGGTTTGAGCCTCAGCACCACATAAAAATAAATAAATAAAATAAAGATATTGTGACCATTCACAACTAAAATAAATAAATAAAATGTTCTTTTCAGTGTATATTGTGGTATCATCCAGAGGTTGATAAGAGACAATAGCTTTCTTTACTCATGACTTCAGAATAAAAACACACCAACATCAACTAAATGATTGTAAATACCTCCCTGGCCTTAAGATCATTTTGTTCTCCAAAAGGCCCAGCTAGAAGTGTAGTTTAACACCCATGCAGTCCCATTTCAATTTCAGTTTCCCTATCTGTACTGACCTGTCTTTCAGGAGGAAAAGACGGGAAACAAGGGCCTGGGGATGGCACATGTAGGGGCCCTGGTGCAGATATCGGCAAAGCCCCAGGTGGATCACCTGCTCTCACTGCAGTGCTATCTCCTCTGCCAAGGGCATCTTTCTTGACATCCTCTGTAAATCCAACACAGACCAGGTCCGCTGGGGCTTCAGCCTTAGACAAGAGGATAAGAATCCCATCAAGTTTGCAATTTATTATACACTTATGTATTTGCATACTTATTACATATTAAACACTCTTGGAAGTACAGGGAAGAAGTAATGCACAATGCAACAATGTTCCAGCCTTTATGAAGCTTACAGTCTAGTCAGTGACAGTTAAAAGAAAACTTAAGTTTTTCTGGTCGACTGTCTTCTTTTTTTTTAAATTTTTAATTTTTATTTTATTTATTCTAATTTGTTACATTTGACAGCAGAATGTAATTAACTGTCTTCTTCTTTCTTCCAATGACTTTGTTTTGAGTACCAAAGAGGTCAGGCACTGTGGTACACCAATTAAGAGTAATATGCAGGGCTGGGGCTGTAGCTTAGTGGCAGGGCACTTGTTAGGCACTGGGTTTGATCCTTAGCCCCACATAAAAATAAACAAATAAAATAAAGGCTTTTTGTCCATTTTTTAAAAAATTTAATAAGAGTAATATGTAGGTCTGGCGTTGTGACTCAGTGGCAGAGCACTTGCCTAGTACGTGTGAGGCACTGGGTTCAATCCTCAGCACCACATAAAAATAAATAAATAAAATAAAGGTATGTGTCCATCTGCAACTAAAAATATTTTTCAAAGAAGAGTAATAAGTAAATATGTATATATATGTCTAAATAAAGTTTATTAAACTTGAGCAATGATAAACTCTGGATTTACTAGTTCACTTGACAAAGTCTCTTGACCACCTAATATAAGCCAGCAATAGTTGCTGGGGATGCAACAGTGAACAAAACAGACAAAAGTGCCCATCCTCAGAGACGTGACTTTCTAGCTGGGGAGACAGATAACAAACAAGATCATTAAGTGAGTTACACAGTATGTCAGATAAGAAACAAGTGCACTAGAGAAAAAATATAGAGAACTACAGAGGGAAGAGTTTGAGATTTTAGAGAATGTAGCTAGGAAGGATCTTGAGAAGAGAACATTTAAATACAGACTTGAAGCAAGTAGGGAGGGACCAGGTAGATATATAAAAAATACAGAGTACTGGAAGGGAGTACAAAGGTCCTGAGGTGGGAAAGTACCTTGTGTGTTTGAAGAAGTGTAAGGAAGGAGGCCAGTATGGCTGAGGCAGAGTAAACAAGGGAAGAGTAGAGAAAATGAGGCCAGAGAGACAAGAGACAGGAGGTGTACATAGCCTTGTCAGTCACGAGAAAGACATTCCATATTATTTTAAGTGAAATAAAAATCCACTGGAGGGCTTCAAAGGCAAAGGAGTGACCTGATCTGACTTAGATATAAAGATCTTTGATGCCATATTAAGTATCAATTATTGGGGATCAACGGTAGAAGCAGGAAACRCAGTTAAGAGGCTATTGTAATAATCTAAATAGGAGGAGATGATTGCTGATTAGACCAGAATACTGGCAGTGGAAATGGTGAGAAGCGGTAACATTCTGAATATTGCTTGGAGGTGGGGGTTTAGAAAAAGAAGAGACAAGAAAAATATCAAGCTTTTTGTCCCAGCATAGAATTACCATTAACTGTAGAATGAGTAGGGTGGTAGAGGGATGAGAGTCCTTTTGGACATGTTCAGTCTGAGATGCTTCTGAAACATCCAAGTGTTTCAGATATTAAAACCGCAGGTGGATGGATATATGAACTGGAATTCATACGAGCCTAGAAGTCTTGGCTAATGGTATGTAGAAATTCCCACCATAAAGAGATGTAGGGGCTAGGGATTGTGGCTCAGCGATAGAGTGCTCGCCTTGCACATGCGAAATTCTGGGTTTGATCCTCAGCACCACATAAAAATAAATAAGTGAAATAAAGTTATTATGTCCAACTACAACTAAAAAATAAATATTAAAAAAAAGAGATGCAGATTGAGGGGCTGGGGCTGTAGCTCAGTGGTAGAGCACAGCTTGTGCTTGAACCCATTGCCTAGCTTGTATGAGGCAATGGGTTCCATCCTAAGCACCACATAAAAATCAACAAATAAAATACAGGCATGCTGTCCAAACAACTACCAAAAAAAATTTTTTAAAGAGATGCAGATTGAGCATCCCTAATCCAAAAAACCCCAAACCAAAACATTCTAAGTACCAACATGATACCATAAATGGAAAATTCCACACCTTACCTCACTTGATGGGTCACAGTCAAAACACAGGCACACTAAAAATATTGTATAAAATTACACTCAAGGGGTTGGGGTTATGGCTCAATGGTAGAGCTCTAACCTAGCACATGCAAGGCCCTGGGTTTGATCCTCAGCACTACATAAAAATAAATAAGTAAAATAAAAAGTTATAAAAAATATTGCATACTCTTTAAAAATAAAATAAAATTACATTCAAGCTATGTGTATAAGGTTTACATAAAACATAAATGAATTTCATGTTAGACTTGGGCCCCATTCCTAAAATATCTCATTAGGTACATGAAAATATTCCAAAACCCCCAAACATCTGAAATGTGAAATATTTATGGTCCCAGTTATTCAAATAAAAGATCCTCAATCTCTATTGAAAACCACAAGGTTGGATGAAATCCTCTCTAGTGATTTTTTTTTTTTTTTGGAGGGTACTAGAAATTTAACCCAAGGATGCTTAACCACTGACCAATATCATCAGCCCTTTTTTATATTTTATTTTGAGACAGGGTTTCACTAAGTTGCTTAGGACTTCACTAAATTGCTGAGGCTGGCTTTGAACTTGTGATTCTCTTGCCTCAGTCTCCCRAGATGCTGGAATTACAGGAGTTCAGACTTTAGTGACATTTCATGTGGCTTTTGTTTCTTCAAAGTCTCTTTGTTTAAATTTTTACAACATGCCACTTTTCAACAACAATTCTTTGGACAAGAAAGAGAAAAAATAAAGAAGAGTTAAAGAGTTCCTATCAGCAGCAAAGCATCAGAAAAGATAAATATGCCCCTTAGTCACAATGTGGCACATTCCACATTAGCAATTTGAAGGCAGTGCAGTGGGAACACAGAGGATAGACCAGACCCCTTTGTTGCTTCATGTCCTCACTAACATAAGTTTGGCACCTGAGTATGAGACCATCTTTTTATAAAATCACAGGACACCACCTAAACAATCACTGGAAGCATTGGGAGAAATCCCTCTTAAGACAGTTCATGACCATCTTAGGGAGGATAGTCTACCCTCCATAACAATGAAAACTTGAAAATCAGATGGRGTAGTGCATGCCTGTAATCTCAGCACTTGGGAGGTCCCCCTGAACCCAGGAGTTTGAGACCATCCTGGATATCACAGACTCCATCTCAAAAAAAAAAAAAGAACAAAAACAACTAACTTGATTATATTTATTATGTGCTAGGTTTTACATTCCATTTAACTTCTTTATTTGTATGGGCCCATTTAATCACCTCAACAAATTTATGAGATGGGAACTATTATTATCCTCCTTTCTATAGTCCAAAGAACTGAGTCTTTGAAAGTTGCCTGAGGTCTCATGGTTAATAGATAGTGGACCTAAGATGTGAAAATGGCACATTTCACTACTGAAATAACACTCTTAAGACTACATGATACTGCTGTTTTCCTTTGCATCTTGTAGCCTTTATTCCAGGAACTTTTTATTAAAATGTAAAATATGAGCCCAGCATGGTGGAACTCGCCTGTAATTCTAGCGATCCAGGAGGCTGAGGCAGGAGGATTGCAAGTTGGAGGCCAGCCCAGGCAATTTAGTGAGACTCTGTCTCAAAATAAAGGTTTGTTTTTTTTTTTTAAAGAATTGCAAAACTTTATTTTTAAAAATGCCTTCACTACAAATTTAAAAATCTAAAGAAATTACTTTTCTCCACCACAAGAATAGTACTTAAATGTGGACTGCAAAGAAAGTTCTTAATTTAAAACAATAATTTTTAAATATCCATAGGCATTTAGTCCAATCTCCAATAGGCACTGCAATTCTCAGGCAGCCAAAGTACCAGGATTGGTAAAGCAATCTCCCCATCCAGAATTTATAGCTTCATTCCTATACTTAAATGAGGAGGGATAAAATGTATATGATCCACTATCCCCAATCTGTCACTCCTAGATGTGTCCCTGAAATTTTCACATGATGCAAACTTGAGTATTTCTTTCCCATTGATATTTTGGATTCATGACTATTACTCCTTTTTACTTTTTTTCCCATAAGAGACTGTAAACTTTCTTTGAATATAGTATAATATTGGTAAGTGACCAATGATATCTGTATTTACTGATTCATAAGTGTTTGAACTTTCAATGAGAATACCCCATGGGCACACTTCAGCTTTGATCCCGTAAGAAGAGAAAGGATAAAGGAACTCAAAGAAATCCAAGTCTTCCAGTTACAGTACAATCAGTTCCCGGATATAGGTCATATACCTAGAATTGCTGGTAGTTCAAATAAGGCCTTTGTTTAATTCTGACCTGCAGCCAGTATTCACTACAGGTTATAGCCACATCCTCAAAACTATGAATGGGGGCAGGGCTATAGCTCAGTGGCAGAGCACTTGCCTAGCATCTGTGAGGCACTGGGTTCAATCCTTAGCACTACATAAAAATAAACAAATAAAATAAAGGCATTTTGTCCTTCTACAACTACAAAAAAAGAAACCATGAGTGAACACAAAAAGCATGGAGAGCCATTACCACACCAACAATCTTCAGCTCTCACTTTGAGGTTACCACACAAAACAGGAAATTCCAAATAAAAAGTTTTTTAAAAGGGGTTGTAGCTCAGTGGTACAACACCCCTTGGTTCAATCCCCAGTACCACCAAAAAGTAAAAACCACAAAATAAATGCAAAATATGTCCAGGACAAAGTTGTGATCTTAAGAACTAAGAAATATTTGACATACTCCTTGATCTAACACCTTAAGTATCTTGATTTTTGTTTTCTCTTCTGTTGTTAACAATATATATGGGTCTATTAGGAATGATATGTGGGCACAGAAAAAGTTCAAATTTTACCTGCTTTACAATTTTTCTAGTAACTCTGGAAACTACATCTCTATAAGCAGAAAAAACTCTTCTGAAGCACAATAAAAATCTCAACCTCAAATCTTTTCTCTTTCTGTCTGTCCCTGTTTCTGTCTCTGTCTCCTAGGCTCAGGATTAAGCCCAGGGTCTTGTACACTCCAGGCAAGCATGGTACCATTCAACTACATCCCCAGCCCCCATTTTTCCTTTTTTTTTTTTTTTTTATAATGGGGATTGATCCAGGGATGCTTTACATCTCCAGCCCTTTCTATTTTATATTTTGAGACAGGGTCTTGCTAAATTGCTTAGGACCTCGCTAAGTTGCTGACACTGGCTTTGAACTTGCTGTCTTCCTACCTCAGCCTCCCAAACTGCTGTTATTACAGGCATGTCCTACCATGCCCGGCTATTTTTCCCTTTAAAAAAGGGAGGGAGGGAGGGAGGGAGAGAGAGAGAGAGAGAGAGAGAGAGAGAGAGAGAGAGAGAGAGAATTTTAATATTTATTTTTTAGTTTTTTTGGTGGACACAACATTGTTGTTTGTACGTGGTGCTGAGGATGGAACCTGTGCTGCAGGCCAGGAGAGCGCTCTACCGCTTGAGCCACATCCCCAGCCTGTATTTTTCCCTTCTTGAAAGTACTCACCATAACGCTTGTCTTGGATGTATAGGGCACATTATAGTTCTTAGCAATTTCTACCAGGTACTGTTCCACTAGAACCTGGGGTAGAGTGTTCACATTTAATTTACACATTAGCTGCAAAATAAAAAGCACAACAGATTTACTTACACCCAAACTTATAAAATACAAAACAAAGAGATTAGGTGGTCTTTCAACTCCAAATCACTTTCTTCCCCATCTTTCTATTCTGTTGTCTAAGAGGTATAATTTTTAAATTTTTTTTTGTAGTTGTAGATGGACAGAATGTCTTTATTTTATTTGTTTATTTTTATGTAGTACTAAGGATTGAACCCAGTGCCTCATAGATACTAGGCAAGTGCTCTGCCACTGAGCCCCAGTCCCAACGCTAAGAGGTATATTTTTTAAGATGTATAATGTAGCCCCAAGAAGGGGTCCAACTTGTGAATGTATTATAGGACAGTGCTATCTTAGAGCTAAGGAATGTCAAACCAAACAAAGTTAAGAGAAAGAAAGTAAACCTAAGAAAAAAATATTTGAGCTGGGTGTGGTGGCACACATCTGTAATCACAGCAACTTGGGAGGCTGAGGCAAGAGGATTACAAATTTGAAGCAAGCCTCAGCAACTTAGTGAGGTCCTAAGCAACTTAGAGAGACCTTGTTTCAAAATTAAAAAAAAATAAAAAGGGTTGGTTTGTAGCTCAGTGATTAACTGTCCCTAAATTCAATCCCTGGTATCAAAAAAAAAATCAAGAATTCTGATTCTATGATAAGTATTTGAACTTTATTAGGGGTGATAAATGAATATATTTAACAACCAATAATAGACACTCTGAATAATGAAAATGTCCACCAGCCTGAAACAAATGTAATGGCCAGATCTCTGTAATCCAGCTGAAATGTCAGTCTTTAATTACTTATATGTGATCATCTGCTTAAAAGTTGAAATTTCTAATTTTCACTAGCTTCCTTCCAATTGGTAGGCGAGTTACACATAGGAAAATGTATGCTTTCTTAAAAAAGAAATCAATTCATGTTTTTTGGTGTTAGCTTTTCTCTTTTTAAATAAAGATCTGATTTTAATTCTCTAGTCTTAAGACTTAACCAAATTGTTCTGCCTCTAAAGCAAAATTCATTTGTCTACATCTTTTAATCTGCACAAAATTACATGTTTTTGAGTTTTCTCAGTTTCCTTAGATTCCTGGGTTTAGAAAAGTGTATGTCTCTGACTGGGTGCAGTGGTACATGCTTGTAATCCCAGTGATTTAGGAGGCTAAGTTAGAAGGATTCCAAATTCAAGACCAGCCTCCATAACTTGGCGAGATCCTATCTCAAAATAAAAATAAAAAGGGCTGGGGATATGGTTCCATGGTTAAACACTTCTGGGTTCAATTCCCAGTAGCAATGAATAAATAAATAAATAAGACAATAGAAAAGTGTGCATCTCTAGAAATGATACTACCTGAGAGTTGACAGTTCCAATTTCATTTGTTTGACAGAGTTGACCATACTTTTGGCTGTATTTTGCACACAGCTGATTAAATACCTGCAGAAAACCAACACCAAGAAAAAAGACAAAGTTCATGAAGTTATGGAAAATTTGCTTGAGATAAAGAACAATCTAAGAAAGCAAAAATCACTTCCATGTTACCTTTTGGAATTATGTTCTTTAAGCATCAAAACAACAATAACAAATGCTTTGTTTTTAAGTAGGCTGATAAATATAAAAGTTAAAACCACTAATTCTAAACATTCATCAAGTATAACCCTCCTCCCCAAAAGAAACCCACTTTTTTTGTGTGCATGTGTGGATATCGGGGATTGAACTCAGGGGCTTGCAACTACTGTGCCACATCCCCAGCCCTATTTTGTATTTTATTGAGAGACAGGGTCTCACCAAGTTGCTTAGTGCCTTGCTTTTGCTCAGACTGGCTTTGAACTCGTGATCCTCCTGCCTCAGCCTCCCCAGCCACTGAGATTACAGGCATGCACCACCGTGCCCAGCAAGAAATCCACTTTTAAGTTAATTTTTATTTACTTAAGGCCTGTATATTTTCTTCTACCATTCTATCATTCTTCAAGCATTTACTTTTCATTTAAAGATTAAGAAAAAAATCTTTTTTTTTGGTCATCCCTTAAGAGAAGAAAGGGTTTTCCAAATAATCCCACAATTCAAACAAGTGACAACAGTGATACTCAAACCTATAATCATGACACAGGTAACTGAAACTTGTCAAACTTACTATTTTCAGCTCAGGTACTTCTGACTGCAGTCTAGGAGCTGCCCAGATTAGTGTAGATATGTATTCAGCCAGACCAGAATCTAGTTCCCTAAGGAAATCACAAAATTGTAAAACTCAGAGCTTCCTGTTTTCCTCTTTTTCCTACTTCTAATGTTCACAATACGATGGTAAATAAATTATTTTTTAAAACTAAAATTGGAATATAAACCTATATGTAAATATATATGTAAATACACACACAGGTATGTTTATACATAAAGTAACATATACATATACTTATGTAGACGAAAAGGAAAGATATCACAATTTTGTGTGTGTGTGTATGTGTGTGTATGTGTGTGGCAGTGTTGGGGATTGTGCATGCTAGACAAGCACTCTACTACTGAGCTACATCCCCACACCAAGACATCACAATTCTTATCTCAAGATTTGGAGATAGCATGATTATTTTGCCCTGAAAGGTAGTAACACTGCTGAATACACCTGCTAGTAGGGAACAAAGTATACATAATGGAGCTGCTAGAAGAAGTTCCTATGTGCCCAATTTGCTATAGTCTATTTGATGATCCTCAAACGTTACAGAAATTACTTCACTTGCACAATTTATGCAAAATATGCTCAGAAGGTATCTTATAGGGGATTGTGCAGGATGTGTTGCAGAGACCATCTCCATTCAAATATAACCATATATATACATATACATACACGTATGTTTATATGCACAGTTACTCAGAGATACTTATATAGACTGAAAAAGAGATATACTAAAATTCTTATCTCCAGATTTAATGATTATGGATTTTTTTCTGATTGTATATTTTCTGACTCTACCATAACTTTACATTATACCTTTACAGCTCAGAGGAAAAACATAACTATTTGTGTTTTTTTTTTAATGGCTCTTTGGACTAAAATATTTTCTTCTCATCGAGCAGAGGTAGTTCTTCCTGTGAAAGTTAGAGACAGCCAGGTGTGGTGGTGCACCTATAATCCCAGGGACTAGAAGGCTGAGGCAAAAGGATCACAAGTTCAAGGTCAGCCTCAACAACTTAGCAAGACCCTGTCTCAAAATAAAACATAAAAAGGGCTGGGGATGTGGCTCAATGGTTAAGCACCCTGGGTTCAATCCCCAGTACAAAAAGAGAGAGAGAAACAGAGACAGACAGACCGAGACAGAGAGAGTTCTTCAATGGTCCCAACAAGCTAGAATCCACACTCTCCCTTACCAAGTACAAGGAATGCCTTGTCATGTCACTCTTTTGAGTCTATGAAATGATGCACTCACTTTGTGGCCTGAATCAAGCTAAACCGAGCCAGTAGCAGGTCACAGTACAGTTCCAGAACCTCTAGGGCCTCCACAAGGTAGTCTTCCCGGATAATGTGCTCCACACGGATCCGGGCTCTCTCATCCTTCCCAGTGGCCATATGGTCTGCAACCTCCTTCTTTGCTCTCTGAGTCTGTTCAACTGCAGCATGAAGCCATATAGAAAAATGAATGTGTGACAGGCGCAGTGGTGCATTCCTGTAATCCTAGGGCTCTGGGGGCTGAGACAGGAGAATTGCAAGTTCAAAGCAAACCTCAGCAATGCAAGGCAGGCACTAAGCAACTCAGTGAGACCCTGTCTCTAAATAAAATACAAAATAGGGCTGGGGATATGTCTCAGTGGTCAAGTGCCCCTGAGTTCGATCCCCGATACAAAAAAAAAAAAAAAAAGTGTGGCTGGGGATGTCACTTAGTGGTAAAGTGTCTACCAGCATGTGAGAGGCCCTGGATTGATCCCTAGCACCAAAAAAGAGAAAAAAAAAAAAAAAGAATCTGTAAAAAGAATAAAAAAAGAATTTTACACAATAGAGTAAAACAATGGTTTCATAAAAACAAATGCAGGTGGTAAATTATGTGTTTCAAACTAGATGTGGAGGGTCTTCAAAATCCCACTCCCAGATCAACAGCATTTGCATCATCTGGGAGCTTGTCAGAAATGCAAATTATTGGGCCCCACCCCAAAAATGCTGACTCAAAACTCCGGAATTAGAGTTGTAATAAGCCCTCCATGGGATTCTGACAACTGTTAAAAGGTTGAGAACCCCACTTTATGCTGTGACTTGATAGGTGGCCTTTATTTTCTCCTCTTAGGTTACCTTTATTTTATAAAATATTCCAAASTGAAAAATTATAATTTTTGTAATAAAAAAATTAGTTATTTTTAAAAGGAGAATGGGGGTTAGGAGTGTTGCTCAGTGGTAGAGCACTTACCTAACCACCCTCATCCCCAAATGCATGTGGTGTTTTACATTTGAAAATGTTTTCWTATAAACATTTCTATTTGATCCCAGTAACACCTGTGTGAGATTTGCATTGTTATTTGAATTTTAAAGTTGAGAAAACTGAGACTCCAAGGGGTTACATGGCTTGCCMATGGTCAAGTGATTAGGAATAGTTAGTTCAACTGGAACTCAAGGCCAAATCTTCAGTGTGCAAATTGCTATGCTTTTWACATTATTCCACAGGATGAACAAGAGATTGTTTTGGAAAGGTAACAAATGTAACCTGTCCCAGGCCAATCTATTGGGGGCAATAAAGGCTTACTCACTATCTTGTGTTATCAACTGAAAACTGAGTTTCAAGAAAGCATTTCCACAAGCCAAGAAAATCTCCAAGTCTCCAAATTATATACTCTGTCTGCCATACCCTAAAGATGATGCTCACCATCAAATCATGATTAGAYAGAGTTGCTCTCACTGCAAAACATGTTGACATGAAACCACATTGAATCTGAAATAAACACAAAACTCAGTGCTTGGAAAGGAAATAGCCAAGTCCAAAGTAGACAAATGATTTCTTTAGACATCTCAGGGGAAAAAATCATAACAGAATTGGACTTGTTTCCTACAAATGCTAAACTGATGTTAAACCAACTCTAATACCAGCAAAAAAAWTTTTTTTAGTTATAGATGGACACAATACCTTTATTTTATTTATTTGTTTTTATGTGGAACTGAGTGCATTATGAGGCTAGGCAAGAGTTCTATCACTGAGCTACAACCCCAGCCCTCAGCAAAAAATTTATTGTGTGCCTTCATAATATTCTGTGATACACAAAGAACCCTGGAGAGATATAGAAGGTCATAATTTTTGTCTCATTTCAAGAAGGAATAAATTTAGGTAAGACAGGGCTCATTTGTTCTAACTTATCTCACTCTTGTGCTCCATATTTAAATTTATTCATTTGCAAAAAGAAGATAAATATTTATATCTGAGCAATAATATGCATCACTGGATTGTTAGGGTCAAATAAAAGAACACAAATTCATGCTTTTGGAAATTATAAGTGCTGTGCACACCATCATTGTCATCCTTACTATTCAAAATAATGGGTACCACTGGGTTTGCCATAATTTGTTTTGGATAATTTCCTAGGACTCTGTTACCAAAATTGTGCCCCCAAACACTTGCATGATCTTGTTAGAGAATGCCCAAAAATCAAATTGGAAGTTTGAGTAACAGCTGCCTTCCCACTAATACATAATGGTATTTTAATATAACTATTTACTAAGCACTCAGAGAACTGCGTTATGTGCAATACTTATTTCATGTGAACACTTCTTATAATTGACAGATGTCAGTTTTTCAGTTAGTTGAGGAGTAATGGCTCATGTAACCCATGGGAATAAAGAAATAGTGGGGAAAAGAAAAAAATCAGTTTGACTTTAAGAAAGAAGATAGAGGGAGGGGAGGGGAGGGGGGATAGTAGGGGTTAGGAAAGGTAGCAGATTAAAACAGTCACTAATATGCCATTAGGTAAAAATGTGAGTATGTAACAGATGTGATTCTGCTATCTGTATTTGGGGGTAGAAATGGGAGTTCAAAACCCAATGGAGTCAAATGTATGAAAGATGATTTATCAATAGCTCTGTAATGTTTGGAACAATCAATAAAAAAAATAAATAAATAAAAAATTAAAAAAAAAAAAAGAAAGAAGATAGAACTTGTTTACATCATCCCTGCTTCTGGGTATAGCACTACTTGGGTCTGTCAACTGGGAGAAGGAACAGCGTTTTTTGTGTGTTTGAAAAAAGATAAAGAAGTCTTTCCAGAAAAAATTGCCCAGAGGGATCAAACTTAATGGCTACTCTACCTTGAAAAAGAATGATTAAAGAGGGCTGGGGATATAGCTCAGTTGGTAGAGTGCTTGCCCCTACATGCATAAGACCCTGGGTTCTGATCCCCAACACCACAAAAGAAAAAGGAGTGGAAATTGTTGGGTTGGGGTTTCAGCTTAGTGGTAGAGCACTTGCCTAGCATGTATGAGGCTCAGGGTTCAATTCTCAACACCATATATGAAAGCAAATAGATGAAATAAAGGTCCATCAACAACTAAAAAAAAAAAAAAAAGACTAATTAAATTTCTCTGTCTTGGTGGCAGGTGGCGAGAAGTCCAGAAACTTGGAGATATCTTTTTACTTTTTATTTTATTTTTTTTTATTTTTATTTTTTTTTAAAGAGAGAGGGGAGAGGGAGAGAGAGAGAGAGAGAGAATTTTCAATATTTATTTTCTAGTTCTCGGCGGACACAACATTCTTGTTGGTATGTGGTGCTGAGGATTGAACCCGGGCCGCACGCATGCCAGGCGAGCGCCCTACCGCTTGAGCCACATCCCCAGGCCCTCTTTTTACTTTTTAAACCTGTGGAAACTTTTAAAAATAATTCATACATTGTAAGAAATAATTCAGAGACACCTAGGGTACCCTTGTACTCAGGTTTCCCCAAAGGTAACATCTTGTTAAAGTGTAGTTCACTACTAACCTGGATATTGGTGTTGATATAGTCAAGATACAAAATGTGTTCAAAAACTTATTTTTAATACATTTATTTTGTTTTATTTTTATTTTTATGTGGTGCTGAAGATAGAACCCAGTGCCTCATGTGTACGAGGTAAGTGCTGTCACTGAGCTATAGCCCCAGCCCTAGAAACTTTTTAAATATATTGATCACCATAGTAAACATGATCGCATTTCCAATAGTCAGAAACTCTCCTTTAAATCCCCAAACTGCTAAATGAGATCTTAGAAAATAAATCAACTTGAGGATTTCACCAGGATCTAAGAGCCCGCATGCGGTGTTGCCTTGAGTGTTTACTTACTTTTCTTTTTTTTCAGGAGTTTTAAGCGATTGATAACCAGATGCAAGTTAACCCGGAGGCRATCAGCTTTGAAGGTAGAGCTGAACATTATTTCACCACAAGAGGAAGCAGTTCACGAGCCACCTCGATGAGCAAGCTTCCCAAAGAAAGAGACAGTTATGAGTATTATGAGGGATTCATTCCAGTTTTCTGGCACCCATTTCAATAATACCCACRTAAGAAATTTCTGGTAGCTCAGCAATGGCCTGAATGTACTTGCTTCTCTGTGGACCATTCCTCAAAATGACTCGTGTAATTCAAATAARGGTTAGGTTTCCTTCAACTTATTCAAATTGTTTTTACAACCACCTTTTAGAATTCTGCAAGGAGTTTTTAACAAAAATGGAAGTCTTTGGCAAATGTCTGAGGAAAGTAGACCAGAGAGGGAGACACTTCCCATTCCCTGCAAAGGACATATCAGTCCACAAAGGAATAAAGTATAAGGCCTCCTTTAAATAAAACATTCATGAACTTGTAAGGGAATTCCTCCATGGAATTGGAGAGGTCACATAACATTAAATGCATGTGGAAACAAGGACACAGAATTAGAGAAGTAGAAAAGACAGAAACTTGAAAATTGCATATTTCATTTGGACATTTAGAAAAGGTTTTGAAACATAATCAATACATTTTTGGGAAAGCTAAACCCACTAAGTGTTTTTATGATTTCAATGTATGCTTGGGATTAGTTGTTTTTTTGTCTTTGGCAGAAAAGGATGGAAGTTCCTTTCCTTAAATACCACTTTACATGCTGAAGCATACATGCAGGAAGGTAAGACAGTATGAGAAAGGTGACCTAAGCCACCTACTTTTGTGATGACACACATTTTCACAAGTTACAGCACTCTTCTCTCATTTGATGTCAGATCAAGTTGGGATAGTTGTCTGTGCTTACTCTTTATTACAGTTCTAGAAAAATCATCAGTGAGGAATTAGGCAGGTCTCCTACCTGCTTAGGAAGAAGAATAACCAGCATAGCAAGATTCTGCTATTGCTGTTGTTTTCCTTCCACTAGAGAAAATCAAGCTCTCCCATCACAAAAATTCTGTCTGCACACAACAAAGGAATTCGATAGGCATCCAGGGAATGGAAAGTGGATAAAACAAAATTCTAGCCAGGCACAGTGGCACACGCCTGTAATCCCAGCGGCTTGGGAGGCTAAGGCAGGAGGATCGTGAGTTCAAAGCTAGTCTCAGTAATGCGTGAGGTGCTAAGCAAGTCAGTAAGACCCTGTCTCTAAATAAAATACAAAATAAGGCTGGTGATGTTGCTCAGTGGTTAGTTCCCCTGAGTTCAATCCCCAATACTCCCCCCCAAATAAAATAAAAAATAAACTGTRTTAGTTTACTTATCATTAATATTCCTGTTAAACTGTTCCTATAGAAGTTCCTACCGTCAAGATGTACCACCAAACAAATGAGGATTGCTGGAAGAGTTCTGGAATAGGATACAGACAGCAGAGATGAGAACCACCCTTTAGGGACTGGCACACCAAAACAGGAAATCAATTATGTTTCACCAATCAGAATGTCCTGTTTTTAAAACAGACATGCCTTGGCATTACATCATTGTGTAATGGCTGGTAGCCAAAAAACTTTTTTGTTTGAATCTACCTGTGCCTGCTCTTTTAATTTGTACAAAATACAACTCTCTGAGTGTGTATCTTGATCTAGGAGAAAATGGCTGTCCTTGAATACACCTGAATTGTTGGAGAGTTTCTATCTTGGCAGTTTTAATGTCAGTTTAGTGAACTAAGCAATGAACTAGAAACCAGGATGCCAGTTAGAGCTAGWATGGGTTCACTGAGTGACCACAGGACTTCCTTCTTGGCCAAACTGAGAAAGAGACTGCCATAAATAATATTAATATTCATAAAACAAAGCTCTCTGCTGACTGAGTTGACAGTGGTAGCCTTGCTGTTTTACCCAGTGGTTGTGTGTGTGTGTTGCTCCATAAATTTGAAGATTCTTTGTGTCCACCCATATGAGAAAATATCAAAATTAATGTCTAAGAATTCCCTAGAAAGAAACTTACAAATCAAACTGTATTTGTATTTTTACTTATTATTTTTTGTAGTGCTGGGGATTGAACCCATGGTCTGTGTGCATGCTTGTCATGTATTCTACCACTTAGCTACACCCTCAGCCCAATTTTTATATTTCCAAGATAACATTCTCATAAAAATTCAAGCAGTAATATAAGTTACTTTTGTTCCTTTTTTTTTTTTTTTTTTT